ATTCGTGTGTCTGACACCTCCACCAGCCCCCGGCCTCTCTAGGGGCAGCCACCGGGCCACGCCAGGACCTTTATTCCCTGGACCTGACATCGTCTTCGGGGTTCAGGAAGTGTCGGCCAAATCCTGGACTGAGTCGCGACTGGCGGGAAGGCCTGTGACAAACGGGCAGACAGACCCCAGCGGTGCTGGCCTGTGAGGGTTGGCTCAGCCCGCGTTTCTCAGGGGTGCACGGGGGAGTGGCTGCTGAGCAAGGCGTCTAAACCCCAGTCTTGTCCCCTCTGGATAAAGCACCTCCAAAGCGGGCCCAGTGCCTTCGGACACTGCTCCTAGCGGCAGCTGAAGGCTGCCTCGGCATCAGCCCGCAGGTCTGGACCAGCTGACTGCCCTGTGCGGGCGCCTGCAGAGGGAGGGTGTCCCAGGCCTGAGACCTGGACTGGGCCCCTGCGGAGGAAGCTTGTCAGATGCCCCGGGTGGCAGAGGGGCACATCTCAGAGCCCCAGTGGGAATCAGGCCAGAGCTGCGCCCCCCACCCCCGCCCCTCCAGCGCTTCCCCGCCTCCAGCTCCTGTCCAACCCGTTTTGGATATGGGCCCTAAGGCTCCCCCTGCAGGCCGAGCGGGTGCCAGGAGCCATCTGCTGCATAAGCCTGCGGGCTTGCATACACACCAATTGATTCTGGTTTGCCTCCTGATGAGGTCTTCAGTTGAGCCAAGGTATCAGAGGCTACGTTAACCTGAGGAGTGCAGGGGAAGGGAGGGGGCAAGAAGCCCAGGGACAGCTGAGGCAGCCCAGCAGGCAGGAGGCCTGTGAGAGCACGAGGCCCACGGCCCCCTGCCCCTGCCTGGCCTGACGCTGGGCCGGCCCTCCGCAGAGCTGGCAGAGCCCCCTGGCTTCCCCAGGGCCTGGTGGGCAGTCGTCCCCTAGGCCTGCCCTGTCCAGTCCCCCGTGGAGCTCCCTCCACAGATCAGTATCACCCCCGCACGTAGGAAGCAGCCGCTCCACTCCGGCTGTTGCCTTACATTATCTACTTAAATGACCGCAGCCCCCTTAAAGAGATGCAGGATTACGCCCCTGGTCCAGTTGGGAAGCAGCGGCTCAGAGAAGCTAGGTAACTTGCCCATGGACACACAGCTGTTGCTGGTGCAGCCACCACGGGCCCCCCGGAGCCCTGACATGATGCCTGTGCTGTTTCCTCTGTCAAGGCTGCAGCCTCACCGGGGAAGCAGGGATCACCCTGGGTTTCCACAGCTGGGACAGCAGCACCCTTCTGTGAAGCAGCAAAGCCTCCTGCAGACCCCAGGGAGCCCCAACCCCTCCTGGGACATCCGTGGTGAACAGATTCGGAGGAGTAGCGCGGGGGCACCCAGGAACCCCGACTGGAGCATTTCAGTCGCCGGGTCACTGCTTTGTCCTCTGGGGATACGATGCTGGCCTGAGGTCTCTCTTTGAAACCCAGTCCCCCTAAAACCGAGTTCCCCTGCCGAGTTTATGAGCGATCTCTCAGTCCCGGACCTTATTCCCTCTCTCGTCTCCTCTGACCTCAATCCTGCGCTCACTGGACACCGGGCAACCAGAGTCAGATGAGAACAGCTGCTGCTGTCGGCAGTGTGATAACAGTGTTAGTGAACTCAAATTACCGGTGCAGACATCACCGCTGATGTACACACGCAGGGTGTCTCTCCAGCACAGGAGGAGCTCACACACCCGTCACTGCTGGGAGTGGGTTGTGCTGTGTGCATTTGTGTATCGCTGTGGCCGAGGTGCTGTCCCCACCTGCTCCCTCCCCCTTTGAGGGCGGCTGCGAGCCATGAGGGGTCGCTTCCCTGGGAAGGTATCTGACAGCCAGGGGTCTCCATCCCCCCTTTACCCAGCCCGCGTGGTTTTACAGCCCAGATTTGGGGGTTACTTGTTACCACTGAATTAGGTCCTCCTTCCTGCCACTACACCACACGGAAGAGCCCAACTACAAGAGTCAAACTCTCTTGGCTTAGACAGTTCATGTTCACTGGGGGTGCGAGGCGCTCATGAATAGGAGGTGAGGCTTCTGCTCACGGAAGCAGCGGAAGCAGCCTGCAAATTCTTACCGCTCAGACCCTCACAGCCTGGTGTCAGCTGATGCCGCAAAGCCTTTCTGAAAACAAACGTCAAGAAGTGGTTGTGCAAGACAGAGCCGCTAGAAATGCCTCGTTTATGGGTGTGTGAGAAGGTCTTTGTGTCTTTCTTTTTTTTCCATTGGAAGAGCATAAGCTCAACTAAGGTGACAGCCCTGGAATGCGAACAGAACCGGCCGGGTCCCCCCCGCCACCCGCCTTCACACCCAGCTCTGAAACGCTGAAAGCAGACTTGAGGGGCTGTCTTCCTGCACGCGGTTCGAGCACCACCCCCGCCCCGTTCCCATGGCAGCCTGGCACGTTCCACTGCACTCTTCACACCGCACCCCGTCTGGTCCCTTGTCAGTCTGTCCCAACTGGGCTGTGAACGCCTGGCGCCTGGCGAGCGGGGCGAGCCTTCCTGCCTCTTGGCCACCTGGCTGAGCACCTGGCAGGCTCTAGGTGGGAGCGGGGGTGGGCAAGAGTGGAGAGGCCAGAGGAAGCCCCAAGAGGGGAGGACCCCCTGTGGGCCTGAGGGCCACCACACCCCCAAAGCATTTACTGAGCACCCCTGGGTACCGTCGCAGTGCATGGCTCTGGGGAAAGGTCCAGGTTCGTAAGATGCAGTCATCAGCTTACAAACACTTTCACGTGTTTTGAACTTCACACACTGTCATGAGTAAATTGTACACAGTCAGCCTGTTTACCTGAGAAGAGAGTGGTTCTACAGCGTTCACGTGGGGTGTGACAGAAGGGGCGGTAGCCTTGGGCCACGCACGTTTTTTGAGTCCCCAGCCAGCCTCGGACCTGGCGGAGCTTCATCGCCCTGGTTTCTGGGGATGGGAGCTCTGCAGCCACACCCCTCTTACCGTGCCCCAGCCTGGCCTGGGACCTAGGACAGAAGGACTTGCCAGACAAGACGGTGCCCTGAGTCAGGGCTGGCCCAGGCCTGCACCACCTCACGCCCAGGTCCACAGAGCACCCTCCAGGGCCCAGCCGAGGAGGCAGGCAGCAAATACATGCAGGAGCCGGGCAGCCTGGATGGGGCGTGTTTGGAAATCCCAGGGCCCAGAGGCGAGATCCGACACGAGGGGCTGTGCCCTGGGAGCTGGGGCTGGGTGGACAGCGGCTGAGTTCGTTGCTGAGAGCCCTGTGTGTCCTAGGACTGACCCGGGGAACCGTCAGTTGCCAGTATTGTCACCCGCCTCACGGTGACCACGGGGGTAGCCCGACCCTCCATCCATCAGCACACAATTCTCGAGCCCTGACTATGCACCAGGTTGTGTTCTGGGCCCTGCAACCATGGCGATGGAGAAACATCCCTGCCTTTATATTCCCTGAGGGGCACAGACAGTAAGCAAGGAACAGGCCGTCGTGGAGCCTGCGAGACCACGCGCAGGGCTGCTGTGGGACGAGGAGGCAGAGGTGCCGGCTCGGGGGGTGAGAGGGGCCGAGAGAGGCCCGCACGGAGGAGGGGACCTTGGGGCAGAGCTGAACGGAGTGAGGGAGCCAAGTGGACACGGGGGTGGGGGGCGTTCTCAGCAGAGGTAGGGGCCGGGCCAAGGCCCGGGGACAGGGGCGAGCCTGGCACGCCTGGGGCAGCAGGAATGGGAGATACCGCGAGAGCCGAGGGGGCGAAGCTCAGCGCCCCCCCTCGCCGGGGCGCCTTCGTTGCTCTGAGCTCTGCACTTGGAGTCAGCTGTCTTTGGCCAGGGAAGCAGCCTGCCTGGACGAAACTCCCCACGGTTGCCTGTGGCCTGAAGCGGCCACCTGCAGGCCGGTGCTGAGCGCCCGGTGCACCTTGGGGACATCCAAAGGCGCGGCCCCCAGGGGTGCCCGTCTCACCCAGCTTGTGCTTGAACGGAACTGCCGCAAGCCAGGGAAACCACAGACTTGGAGGGGTGGAGGGCTTCTGCCCCTGCTCCGTCCGCCGCCTGCCTAGGTCACCAGCTCCATGTAACCCTGGGCTGTCTTCCTCACCTGCAGGCGTTTCCTCTGCAGCCTTCAGCCCTGCTCTCCGTCCCCTGTCTGTGCACTGCAGCCCTCCCCTTCCTGCCAGCCTGGGGGCTCCTCTCCTCTGCGGGCAGCCTCCCGGTCTCTCTCCTTCTCCTGAGGTGCCTGTTTCGTCCCCTTGTACGCAAGCACCCAGCATTGCTGCCGCTACAGGAGAGAATCTCTAGAAATTCTGGTTGAACAGCGGGGAAAAGAAGCTGGCTGCTGGCTCGCTGGTTCTGGTGACCGGACCTCAGGGTGGACGGAACCGGGAGATGGGGGCACAGGCCATGGAAGGAGGGCGGGGACAGGCGGGGGCCGTGCAGGAGTCTGCAGGCTCCTGAGGTGACGCATCCCTGAGTCCGCAGTTTCCTTGTGCTGGGCTGGGAGCCTGGGGGTCCCGCGGCGCTGGCCGAGGCGTCCCCAGACACTCAAACCAGGCTTGTCCACCTGACGGGCATGCACGTCTGCATCTGCCAACAAGTAGCCTGTGGTCCCTGCTCATCTGTGCTCATTTATCCTCACAGCAGCACACAAAGCGGAAATTCTGGACTTCTCAGAGGTTACATGCCGGCCCACGTCACACCCGCCGCGGAGCCACGGCTCATGGGGCAACGTCAGCTGCAAAGACCAGAATTTCTTCTGGCTCCCCTCCCGGACTCAGTGTGTTCTTGGCTGGCCTCAGCCTGCGGCGGCTTGAAGCAGGGTTTCGGTTCCCGGCCAGAGATTGAGGTCGGGTCGTGGAGGTGAGAGCACCGAATCCAAGCCACTTGACCAGCGGTCAGTGACAAGGCCCTGGCCCTTCAGCTTTGCAGAAAAGAATTCCCACAAAGACAGAAGGTAGAGAAGCAAAGTGTTTATTAGGAGAAAAGAAGAGTACAGTACGTGTGGATAGACACACGGGCGGGCTCAGAGAGAGAGTCGCGCCCTCGTGGCCATTTGAATCACTTTTATGGGGCATTTCTGCCGGGTTTCCTCTGGCCAGTCATCTCGCTCTGCCTGCCTCTGTGTCCGTATTTGTTTATCTCAGGGTCCTGGCCTGTGCGTGCGCATCTCTTAGCTGAGGTGGATCCCACCGCAGAGGCCTATGGGGAGTTGCCATCACCTACTGCGGGGCGGTGCCCCTCCCTTTTTGACCTCCAAGGAGCTTCCTAGCCGGGAATGTCTCCTTGACTTCGAGAATGAGGAGTATGTGGTCTCTTATCTTCTGTGGAGCAGGGCCCAGCCTCCTCTCTCGACTGTCCTGCTGATCTCGTCTTGGAGTATTGGTCCACAGGGAATGAATCTCCAGTTGCTTACCCTGGGGCGGCCCGTGGTCAGACCTGGCTCCAAGCGAGACTGAAGAACATGTTCAAGGTCTCACCGAAGGGCCCCAGCTCGCGGCAGATCTCTTTTCTCCCTGCGCTCTTCTCTCTGCCGCTCACCTTCTCGGTCTCTCTCTTTCACGAGCGGATTCCCTCCTTGCTCTCCCTGGTCGTCTGAAGATGGCTCCTGACAGCAGGCACGGCCCTGCAGCTCAGAGCTCTAAGAGGGCAAGTCCCCTCTGCAGCCCCGACCCTACAGGAGGGGTGAGGGAGGGCAGGGACGCGGGGGGCGTGCCTTAGGAAACAGGCTCTCTCTTCCACCCCCTCCTTTACTCTCCTTCCGTGCTTCTCCCCATTTAGCCGCTGTGCCCCGGCCCTCTGGAAAGACAGGCAGATATACAGAGCAGAAAGCAGAATAAAAGCAGTCGCTTCCTCCCAGACCGTTAGGGGAAGAGAGTCACTGGGAGCAGACAAAAGATCTGGGAGGAAACCACCAGGGAGTGGGAGCTGATTCCCTGCGGAGGAACTGGAGCGGAGGTGAGAGGCGGACCTTGGCCCTGGGCTGTGGCAGGACCAGCTGGGGCGGTGGGATGTAAGGGCAGAGCAGACCTGCCCTCATCAACCTGTGAGGCACTGGGTGTGGGGAGGGAAGAAGTTGAAAAGAGCTGAGCTTTTTCTTTTCCTTAGCTGTCCTTTCAGAAAACCAGGTGCCCCTGTGAAGTGATGGAGCCGCAGGCGGATTCCCAGGAATCCAGAGGTAACCAGCGAAGGAGTCCGCTAGCGGGAACGTGGGCCCTCTCGGTGGGGACTCCCTGGGTGCTGCCTGCAAGGACAGATGACAGGAGGCGGCCCGGTGGCTGCACACCATCTGTCTTGGCTTCATGAGCGTTCCCTCTTCCCTCTACCTGCCTCGAGGACATAGTCCCAAGGAGAGGGCAGAGAGAAACCCTGAAATGATGGAAATCAGGTTGCTAAAAATACGTGGTGAAATTGGAGTTCAAAAACAGAGCAAAATAAATTTACTCTTCTTGACCTGGGTCAGAGACAAGCAAAAACGCTGCAGGGAAAAGGGGCATAGATTACACTGGGGTGTTGGGGGTATGTGGACATGGAAGGCTTCCTGCAGGAGATGAGGCTGGATCAAAAATTGAAGGTTCTTGGGACTTGAAGAACCTGGTGGCGCAGTGGTTAAGACTCGCGATCCCAGTGCAGGGGACCAGGGTTCGATCCCTGCTCAGGGAACTAGGTCCCACATGCATGCCACAACTAAGAGTTCGTATGCCACAACTAAGGAGCCAGTGAGCCACAACTAAGACCCGGTACAGCCAAGTTAATTAATTAATTAGTATTGAAAACATTTTGAAGGTTCTTGATATGTATGCACATTTACATTTCCACCAGTGTCCAAGAGATCCTGCTCTAACCAAGACAGTTCTCGTCCCCAGGGATGTGAATCCAAGCATCCCTCAGGTGCTCAGAGCCCTGTGGGAGCTCTTCAGGGGGCTAGTTCCAGAGCCCGCGCTCATGCCAGGGACTGTGCTCAAGGTGGCTGGTGCTTGGCGCCTGCAGGACCAGCGCTGGCAACGTTTCTCGCAGATGCCTGGCTGGCCGGCAGGGGGCGCAAGCTCGCCACAGCCCGGGGCCCAGGAGCCCCCGGGAGCAGCCGGGTGGGTGGAAGCCAGGATGCTGAGTCTCCTGGCATTTAATAGTCTTCGAGGGCCCACCCCAAGGCATCCCCCCCGCCCTCCCCCAGCGCCGAATCCAGCCCTGCGTTTTCTGAAGAACAGTTCCTTCAGGGGCCGCCCAAGCCTCCTCCTGACTCGTAATTCGAAAGATAAGAGGTGATGACCCAGAGTGGTTTCCAGGGATCCCGGGATGGCTGGGGAGTGTTCTCACCTGGGCTCTCCAAGCCTGCAGACTGTGGAGAGACCTCCATGAACTGAGTCACTTAACACGGCAGTTGTAGAAAAATAATTCCGGGCAAAGATGCTGGTTGTAGTAATTGAGCAGAGACCAATCTAAGTATCTTCTAATACTACTGCTGCTGCTACTACTAATAATAAGTCATAGACCGACCAAATGATGAAATAATTCTTAGCCATTGAGAACCCTGTCTTCCGTGGAAGCAACCTAAGTGTCCATCGACAGATGAATGGATAAAGATGTTGTTCATATGTACAATGGAATATTAGCCATAAAAAGGAATGAAATAATGCCATTTGCAGCAACATGGATGGACCTAGAGATTATTATACTAAGTGAAGTAAGTCAGAGAAAGACAAATATCAAATGATATCACTTATATGTGGAATCTAAACTGTGACACAAATGAACTTATTTAAGAAACAGAGGGCTTCCCTGGTTGTGCAGCGGTTAAGAATCTGCCTGCCAATGCAGGGGACACGGGTTCAATCCCTGGTCCGGGAAGATCCCACATGCCACGGAGCAACTAAGCCTGCAAGCCACAACTACTGAGCCTGTGCTCTAGAACCCATGCTTCACAACAAGAGAAGCCACTGCAGTGAGAAGCCCGCTCGCCGCAACTAGAGAAAGCCCGCGTGCAGCAACGAAGACCCAATGCAGCCAAAATAAATAAATTAAATAAATAAATTTATTTAAAAAATAAACAGAAACAGACTCAGAGACATAGAAAACAAATTTATGGTTACCAAAGGGGAAAGGGGGTGGAGGAGGGATAAATTAGTAGTTCGAGATTAGCTGATGCAAACTACTATATCTAAAATAGATAAACAGCAAGGACCTACTGTGTAGCACAGGGAACTATATAAAATATCCTGTAATAAACCATAATGGAAAAGAATATGAAAAAGAACATATATATATCTGAATCACTTTGCTGCACTCCTGAAACTAACACAACATTGTAAATCAACTATAAGAGCACTGTCTTCAAGAAATCTCTAATGACATAGGATAATGCTCATAATATCATATGCTAATTCTCCATGTGTCTTTCCAGAATCCGTTTCTGCTCTGCCCTGCACCCCAGTGCACTGCTTCATCCCAGTTCCCTTTGCTTCTGGCTGCAAGTCAGACACACCAGAGGGAGGCGTGGGAGGAGAGAGGCTGGGCAGGGTCTTCTCCACTCTCTCCTTGCCTCAGATGCCTCCAGGACTACAGCTCCCTCTGGGCAGCCACGCTAAGTCTGCGCCCTCTCTGGACTCTGATACCTCCATTTTCTTCTCTTGCCCTTTTGGCCCTGAGGGTGGTAAGAGCTCCCTGCTCTGGACAGCTCCTGGGTGCCTCAACGTCCTCCGTTTGTTCCCTTAAAACGGAGGAGGTAAACTTGTCCATGTCTCTGCAAGTCGTCCTTCACTAAGCGGCTCTCCGTTTGAACCATCAGAGCAAATGCTTTTCCTGCCAGGGCTCTGAGTGACACACATGTTAAGTGTAGAGAGAAGAATACAAAGCTTTGTATGGGAAAAAAAGGCCTGGTGCTTCATCTGCATCATTTCACTGCACCCTCACAGCCATGCAGCAGAATGCAGTCAACAGGAATGTCGACACCAGATTCAAATTTAGAAAGCGTTTGAAGGAACATTCTAATCACGCCTTTATGGAAGGGAAGAAGATGCTGACAAAGGAAAAGTGAAAAAGGCACACTAGATATGTATTCCATTTTTATTTTTTAAAGTTTATTTATTTATTTATGGCTGCCTTGGGTCTTTGTTGCTGCGCGTGGGCTTTCTCTAGTGACGAGCGGGGGCTACTCTTCATTGCAGTGCATGGGTTTCTTATTGCGGTGGCTTCTCTTGTTGTGGGGCACAGGCTCCAGGCACGCAGGCTCAGTAGTTGTGGCACGCGGGCTCAGTAGTTGTGGTTCGCAGGCTCAGTAGTTGTGGCTCACGGGCTTAGTTGCTCCGTGGCATGTGGGATCTTCCCAGACCAGGGCTCAAACCCGTGTCCCCTGCGTTGGCAGGCGGATTCTTAACCACTGCACCACCAGGGAAGTCCCTATTCCATTTTTAAACTGCCATAAGTTACTACTAGATTGCAACTTTTAATGCATAACATTTTAACTCTTTTAAGAATGAGCCTCTGAGAAGAGGAGGGGGCCACGTGAGCTCAGGTGACCTGATTTTTCCCAACACGATATTCTAACCCCACTTAGAATGGGAGGGACTGACTTAACTTCTTAGAATCCCAGCTGTACCGCTATGTGACGTTAGGTAACTCTGTGCAGTGATGATATAAACCCCTGCCTCCAGGGTCACTGTGATGGTTGACAAGTCTGTGCTGTGAAGCGTCCGGCCCTGTGTCAGGTCACAGTGGGGACTTGGCTGCCTTGTCTGGAGTGGACTTACTGCAGCAGCTGCATGGTGAAGAAGAGATGGGGTGTGAGAGGCAACGCTTCGTGCCATGACCTACGGCTGGCACATAGCAGTGGCCCCTAATAAGCTGTTGACAAGTCAGTGGTGAACAGATGGATGCTGTGCCCAGATCTGCCCTCCCCAGGCTGGGTCCCAGCAGCACTGTGCAGCCGCCTCTGTTTCACAGGAGGGTCTTCATTCTCTAGGCCACTGTACCAGCTTTTATTGCTATGTAAGGAATTTCCTCAGGCGGTGGCCTGGGACGTCATGGATTTATTATCTCGGACTTCTGGGCACTGCCCAGCTGAGTCTGCTGCTCAGGGACTCGCGGGCTGTGATCAAGGTGCAGGAGGGGCTGCACTCCTACCTGGACACTTGACCAGGGCTGGCCTCAGAGCCTCGGCCCGAGTTGTCCACTGGCCTCAGTGCCTTGCAGGCTCATTCTGGTTGCCGGCAGAGCCCATCTGCTTAGCTGCAGGACTAAGGTCCTTGTTCTCATGCTGGCTGGCAGCGCGCGATCCTCTTGGCTCCTGGAAGCCGCCCACACTCCCTTGCCAAGTGGCCCTCTCACCACATGGCAGCTTCCTTCCTCAGAGTCACCACGAAGGAATCTCTCTCTCACTCCAGCCTGCTCAGAGCTGTGACTGTGTGTGTGTGTGTGTGTGTGTGTGTGTGTGTGTGTGTGTGTGAGTCTGTGTGTGTCGTGTGCACACACACATGTATGATCACTCTGCCGTATGATGTAATTTATCAGAGGACTGACAGCCCATCGCTTTTGCCATATCCTGTTGGTTAAAGGCAAGTCCCAGGTTCTGCCCGCACCCAGGGTGTGATTCACTGGGGGTCACCTTAGGGTGTGTGTGCCACACCTATCCCCTCAGAGTTCTGTTATCTGTTGGGTGATGAACAAATTTATGTATTTTCCTTCCACGTACACTATTTGCATTTTCCCCAGGATGTTCAGGAAGTAATTTCCTACCTCCAGATAATGTGATAACATCGGGTATCCTGGCGATGTTCGCGACTGGTTTCCTTTGAGGCAGTGGAAGAGGTGGCCTCACTACCAGAAGCCTTTACACTCTTCAGGTTCACTGCCCAGGTGGCCGTCCACTTGCCATATCAGTTCACCCATTTACTGGTTTATATTTCTTGAGCATCTGCTGTGCGCTTAGCATTGTATGTAGAGATAATGCTAGTCTCTTCCTGGGGAGCCGACTTCTTTACTTCCTTCTTTTCCTTCTGCTGAGTAAAAGCATATTCCTTTGCTTTCAGTCAAGATACATGTTCAACCACAAATCACAGAAAGCCCAACAGTGACTTCAATAAGTAAGGATTGATTTTAATCACCTAACAAGAAGCCCAGGACCAGGCAGTCCAGGGCTGGTGCAGCTGCTCAAAGATGTCATCCTTGTCCCAGACTCCTTGTTCCAGCATCTAACTTAGTCTTCAAGGTCACAAGACTGCTACCACAGCACCAGCCATTGCATCCATATTTCAAACAGGAAGAAGCAGGAAAGGCAAAGAGACTGGCCTTTTTGTCCTAGAAGGATCACCCTTCCTCAGGACTTCCGCCTACATCACATAGGCCAGAACTCGGTCACATAGTCACTAGTAACTCCGAGAGAACTGGGGGAAGTGGATTTTGTAGCTGGGCACCTCATCATCAGGAAAAAAATCAAGCAGGAAGATGGGAAATGGATTGGGGGTTGGTCACCTGCGGGACCGCTGCGGGGCTTTGGGCCCAATCTCACAGCCTCCCAAAGCTCAGAAAATACATCTACAGTTTCCTGCAGTGACAGCGGCTGAGTCTTTCTGGGTCCTCGTCGACAGGCTATGATGACACAGGGGTGTTCTTGCTTTATTTGCCAGGAAGGCATAATCTGAGCAACAGCAGGTGTCTTAAAATGGAACTCATGGTCTTGTGGCCCAGGAGCCCTGCCGTCCAGAGCTCACTAGGGCAGGAGAGGTCTTGTGCCAGCAATGGTTAGGGGAGAGGTCTCTTTTCCTTTTCTTCTGAAAAACATGCACAAATGTAAGGGAATTCTGTGCAGGCCCTGGCCCTGTCTGCCCTGAGAGCCAGCCCACTTGCTCACCCCTGCTCTGCCCTGGGTCCCGGCGGCGGTGACCCCTGCTGGCTTTGTTGTGATTGCAGCCTGAGCCTGGCTGAGAGACCCTGGCAGCAGAGTCGGGGTTGGGAGGAAGGGAAAAGCAGGGGTTTTCCTCTCCCTTTTGACCTCGGGTCCTGTCCCCACCGCAACTGTAGCTCCACCGTGGCTCCAGTGTCCCCAGAAGGCCTGCTGAGGTTTCCACTTTGCTCAGTGACCCCAACCCCTGAGCCCAGTGACACCACCTTTTTGTGTTGCTCTCTGGCCCGGGACCGGCAGCTGCTGGCATTGATCTCGGTTCTCTGTTGGCTTCCTAACCCTAACCCTAACTCTCCCATCCCCACGGTGTGACCAGTACTTCGCCTAAGTCCCACTGCTTTAAATATTCAGGTGGGTTTTGCCCGCTGGCTAGATCCCAACTCGGAGAAACAGTACAATAAACACCCAAAACACCCATCACTTTGGTTTGACAATGATTGCCACTCCACGATACTTGTTTCATCTTTTTTTGTTTCTGTGGGAAAAAAATCCCAGCCCTCCTGGTGTTGCTTAAATGAGTTCAGTATGTATCTCTCAAGAATAAGGACATTTTCTTACATAACAAGTATATTCAAACTGCTCCCCCTGTGTTCACACATTAGCACACCCAACAAAAGGAGCAAACGTTCCCTGTGCTCGCGCACAACCCAATACACAGTCAAATTCTCCCAGCTGCTCTGAAGGTGACTACTTTACAGTTGGTTTGTTTGAACTAGGGTTTAAACAAGACCCACACATTACATTTGGTAGATGTGTATCCCGGGTGTCTTTTAATCTGAAATGTCACAAGATGTCACACACGCTCACAGTAGGGGGCACAGCCATACTGAGCCCCCGACTCAACCTGTGTGTGCCCCCACCCCCCGCAGAGCCCCTTACACAAACTGCTTCCTCTCCCAGGACATCTCTGGATGCCACAGCTGCGTACTGAACTCTGCTCCCTGCTGCAGGCAGTAAGGGGTGCGTTGTCTGTAAAGAACTTAAAAACAAATAATAAAACCATTTGCTATGGGCTGAAATGTGTCCCTCCCCCAAGATTCATAAGTTGAAGCCTTAATCTCCAGTACGATGGTGTTTGGAAGTGGAGCCTTTGGGTAATGAGGTCACGAGGATGGGGTCCGCATGATGGGATTAGTGCCCTTATAAGAAGAGAGGACAGAGAGCTTGTTTCCCTCTCTCTGTCTCTGTCTCTGTCTCTCCCTTCCCCCTGCCATGTGAGGACACAGTGAAAAGGCCAGAAGAAGGAACTGAATCTGCTGGCACCCTGACCTTGGACTTCCAGCTTCCAGGACTGTGAGAAGTAAATGTCTGTTGCTTAAGCCCCCCAGTCTGTGGTATTTTGTTACAGCAGCCTGAGCTAAGACACCACTAAAAGTCAGTCAGCTTTTTGTTACCAGCATGTACCAGCAGTTCTAAAGAACGTCAGTGATAAAATACTCCTTCCTGCAGCCTACAGGGCTCCCATCACCCCCTCTTGTTATGTCATTGGTCGATGTGACTCTTGTTAAGACTATGCCAGGGGCTTCCCTGGTGGCGCAGTGGTTAAGAATCCGCCTGCCAGCGCAGAGGACAGGGGTTCAAGCCCTGGTCCGGGAAGATCCCACATGCCGCGGAGCAACTAAGCCCGTGTGCTACAGCTACTCAGCCTGCTCTCTAGAGCCCACAAGCCACAGCTACTGATCCCATGTGCCACAGCTACTGAGCCCATATGCCACAAGTACTGAAGCCTGCGTGCCCAGAACCCATGCTCTGCAGCAAGAGAAGCTACCGCAATGAGAAGCCCACATACCGCTATAAAGACCCAATGCAGCCTAAAATAAATAAATTGAATTTTTAAAAAAAGACTATGGCAAAAAGATATCACTGAATCATCAAGAAGCAAAGTTAGTGTGTTGAATATGTGACTAAAATGTCAGTAGGTAAATCTGATAAGGATACGTACCGTAAATTAACTTTATCTAAAGTCTAAAAGCACACAAAATAATACTATTATTATTAAGATATATGTACATATATAACCAAAGTGTAAGGACTTTCCTAGAAATACCAGACACCAAATTTAAGATAGTGGTTTTCTCTGGGAGAGATAGTAAATAAAAGAGGAGAGAGAAATAAAAGAGGTCCGTAGACATAAAGGTAGCTTTTCCTGTCATGAGCTAGGTGGTTTGTTAAGTTATTCCCATACATTTTTTTTCTAAGGTGTAGTTGATTTACAATGTTGTGTTAGTTTCAGGTGTACAGCACGGCAATTCAGTTCTATATATATATATATATATACACACACACGCATACATCTATTCTTTCTCAGATTCTTTACCCTTAAAGAAGGGTAAACTCTACCCATAATATTGAGTAGAGTTCCCTGTGCTGTACAGTAGGTCCTTGTTGTTTATCTATTTTATATACAGTAGTGTGTGTATGTTAATCCCAAACTCCTAATTTATCCCTCCCCCCTTTCCCTTTTGGTAACCGTAAGTTTGTTTTCTATGTGTATCTCTGTTTCGGAAATAAGTTCATTTGTATCTTTTTTTTTTTTTTTTAGATTCCCCATATAAGCAATATCATACGCTATTTGTCTACCCCTACGCTGTTGCATGATTTAAATATCTTATTCAAAGAGTGCCCGTTGATCAGCCGTGTGCTGGTCAGGCCTACCACCAGGCTCGGTTTCCAGTTTCTATGACGTGGCTTCTCTCCTGGCCTGGGGGCATGACTGAGCCTGGTGCTTCTGAGCCCAGGGCTGGAAACGAGGCAGGTATGTGGCTGAGCAGGTGAGCAGTGGCCAGAGCTGGAGGGTGGTGGTCACCATATTGGGACCCTGGGAGTCATTGGGGTAGATCAGTGGCTGGGCACCAGGGAGGTGGGTGACCTTGAGAGCACACAAGGGACAGTGAGGGTGGGGTCTGCAGGAGTGGAAGGGTGTGGAGAGAAGGGGGATGGGGCATATCCAGCCCCGTGGCTGGTCTGCTGTAGGAGGGCAGCCGTGGTAAAAATGGAAGCAGCCAGAGATTGCTATTTATAAGAATAACTACAAAGGCTTGACAACCCAGAGAGAGCGCTGAAGAAGTAAATTGAGGGCTGCTGGGGAAACGCTCAGGGCTTCTCATCTTCAAAGCATTTCTGAGACACGAGCTCATGAATCCTCCGCCCAGGGCTCTGAGCGAGACACGGGGAAGAAGGGAGGTGGGGACAACGCGTGGGTGACCTCCCCAAAGCAGCGGGAGCTGGCGGGTGGCTCACGGAATGCGCGCTCGTCCCTTCCGGCCGGCTCCGCGCCCTGGGCCTCACCGGCTGCCAGGCTGGGTCACTGCGGGCCCGTCGATAAAGGCAAGCCGAGGCTGCTGGTCGTGGGTCCAGGTGTGGGTCCAGGTAGAGCCCTGGCTGAGGGCCACGGGACTCAACACACGGGCGAGGGCTGCTGCGCAAACCCCAGGCGGGAGGCGGGTGTGAAGCAGACGAGGCGCCGGGGCGGGAAGGAGGGCAGAGAAGAGCCAGGAACGTGTGCCCCTACACTTGGACGGGGGGCTGTCTGGGACTTTGGCTGCACTGCCGGGAATTCTAGGGTCCTACAGCAGGGAGGCTGTGATCACGCTTCCCTGGAGGAAGAGACCAAGAGAACGAGTGTCTCTCAGGGTGGCAACGGTGGGGTTTGAACCTGTGTCCCTTTGCACGAATCCCCTGGCCCCTGGCAGTCCCCACTCGTTCCCCCTTTCTACCCAAGGGCCTCTCCTCTGGAGGCCTTCCCGGCTGCCCCCAGGGTGTCCCCAGCGGCTGCTCCGAAAGCACCCACCACGCTCAGCTGGAAGCGGCTCGTCGCTCGTCGCCCACTGGACGAGGGGCGGGCTTTCCGCTCGCTGGCTCCCCGCCCTGGCAGCAGCCGGGCTCGCCCCCGGTATCCTGCAGGGTGACCTCCAAGTGGCAAAGCCTTTCCCTGTGTCTCAGGTCCAGGGGAGAAGCTGGGGGTCAGAAGTGACTGCCCTGCGGCCGAGGGGCTGGGCGGCCCAACAGGCAGGCGCCCCGACCGATGGTGCGGAGCAAAAACATGCTGTCCCCGCGGTGAGGCCTGTCCTAGTGTCGACGGAGCATCCAGGTCCCAGACGCGCGGATGCATCCACGAACGAAACAGGGACGGTGGTAACAAACTCTGCCCCACGAAGCACCATACCCAGACCCAAAGGCATCGCCGCAGTTTCATGGTTCAGCACGTGGTTCAGCACCCCGGCATCCGTGGTGAAGACTATTTCATCGCCCTCCACAGAAGGCGTATTTGTGTGTGCATATGCTTGAGAGAAATTTACTGCAAAGATACGGGTACGAGGCCAGCTGGCAGCACTTTCCAAGCCAGGAGCCTCTTTGAGCAATCTGCCCTAGAGTTCTTGTTTGCAATGCTCAAAACCCAGCCGGGTAAGGAATACACAAGCGCAAAATTGCACTTACCCCGGAGCCCCTCACCCAGCAAAGGAAGGGAGGGCCTGGCCTTGGAAGGAGGAATGGAATGGTGACTTTGCAGGGAAATTTAAGGGTCTTGGGCAGTTCATTTTGTCCAGAGCATACATTTCACGTTCTGAAGTGAAAGACAGAAATGCAGTTATTCACAAGGACCTGCTGTATAGCATGGGGAACTATACCCAATATTTTGTAATAACCTATAAGGGAAAAGAATCTGAAAAAGAATATATATGGCAAATATCATATGATATCACTCATGTGTGGAATCTAATATTTTAAAAAGATGAAACAAATGAACTTGTTTGCAAAACAGAAACAGACTTACAGATACTGAAAACAAACTTACGGTTACTAAAGGGCAAAAGTGGGAGGGAGGGATAAATCAGGAGCTTAGGAAGAACATACACCTACTACTCTATATAAGACAGATAACCAACAAGGACCAACTGTATAGCACAGGGAACTCAATATTCTGTGATAACCTCTATGAGGAAAGAATCTAAAAAAGAATGATTTTATATATATATAACTGAATCGCTTTGCTGTACACCTGAAACTAACACAACATTTGTAATATACTCCAATAAAATTAAAAATTTTAAAAAAGAATATACATATATGTGTGTGTGTTTGTATGTATAACTGAATCACTCTCTGTATACCAGGAACTAACATGATATTGTAAGTCAACTATACTTCAATTTAAAAAATTAAAGAAAAAAAGAAATGCAATTGTTCAAGCGTCTCTCTTATATTCTCTTTCTAAAAGGCCTTTTCTAGGGCCTTGGTTGTTTTCCCTGCTCAATGAACATAATTCCTACCACCTTCTCATAAGTGATTTTTTTAGCTTTAAAATTTTGTTGATCTTGGAATATGTCAGACACGGTAGCGCTAAAAAGAGATGGAGATGGTGAAGGGAATAGCAAAATGCAAAACCATGAATTGACAGGCTGTCAAAATGTTCACCAATTCCTTCCCCTCCCTACCCCCCTTTTTTATTTTTAATTTTTATTGGAGTACAGTTAATTTACAATGGCGTGTTAGTTTCAGGTGTGCAGCACAGTAATTCAGTTTTATGTGTGTGTGTACACATATATGTATATACACACATGTATACATATCTATCTATTCTTTTTCAGATTCTCTTCCCATTATAGATTATGATAAGATACTGAGTATAGTTTCTGTGCTGTACAGTAGGTCCTTGTTGTCTATCTGTTTTGTATACAGAAGTGTATATCTGTTAATCCCAAACTCCTAATTTATCCCTCCCCCCCCCACCTTTTTCTCCCCTTCCTTTTTGCATCAGTTTCTCTTTAAGGCTCGTATGAAGGAGCTTCATGGAAAAAAAAGCCCTGGGCAAAAAGCATGCCAAGGGTTGAAGAAAGAAGGGTAAAGATACAGTGACGTGGGCAGAATAGTCACCCCTCCGCCACCAAAGACGTCCACATCCCAATACCTAGAAGTGCGAATGCGTTGGGTTGTACAGCAAAGGGGAATTAAGGTCACTAGTCAGTTGACCTTAAGTGGGGAGATTATGCAGGAGGGCCCGACATAATCCCAATTGTCCTTGAAAGTGGAAGAGGGAGGCCGTAGTGATGCGTGTGAGAAGGGCTCCCCCGCCCTCGAAGGCTCTCCCTGACGCCTTGAAGATGGGTCTGGGAACCAGGTTGTGTGGCTGACCTCTAAAGCTGAAAAAGGCAAAGACGCGGATTCTCCCCTCAGGGCCTCTAGAAGACACCTTGGTTTTAGCCCAGTGAGAGCCATGCGGGACTTGTAACCTAGCCAAGGCCTGAAGCAGGAAGCTGGGGAACAAAAAGGCAGTTCTAGGGGCAGGAAGACACAGGAGCAATTGAACTGGATTCTTCACAGAGAGCACCATGGGCCTCGGGGCAGGAGGGAGGCTACGCACCTGCCTTGGCTGGCCCTTCTCATACTCAGGACTGGCTGCATAGTGTGTGGAGCTCACGCACAGTGAAAATGCAGGGTCCCTTGTTCAAAGTTAGGAAGACTTCTGAGACAGTGACAGGGCTCTTCTGAGCCTGGGGCCCCATGTGACTGCACAGGTCACAGGCCCACGGAGCCAGCTCTGCTTATAACTATCTATCACTTGGTACTGATGCAGTACCAGGGTATTCAAGAGCTTCTCCTTGGGTCCCCGGCTGCTGACAAGCTGTTTGTCTGGTCTCAAGCCACAGCTCCCTTGAATCTCACCCAGTTCTCCCATGGCTGTCCTTTGCCCCAGACTTTAAAGGGAGGATGTGCCCGGCACACATTAACAGAAGCTCCTGTCTGTGCTCCTACCTGCCTGGCCGCCCTCTGAACTGGTTCCTTCTGCTGTTGCTAAGGACGTTTCCACATCCACAGGTGTGGCCCCAACAGATCTGAGAGAGCTCAGATTGGAGACAGGAATCATGAGCAGAATTTTTATCTGAAATTGGAGCAAAAGGAATAAACTGCATAGTTCCTAAAATGCCCATGTTTCTGGCATTTAGAATCCCTGTTGACATTCCTCCTGGAAAAACCTATATTCTTGCAGGACCCACATAAGATTTACCCACGTGTGACTCCACACACCCACCTGCCCGGGCTCCCCGTTCCCGCCTGCCCAGGGTCTGGGGCTCTGTGTTCAGTCTGCTGGATCCAGCTGAGGTGGGCCCGAGTTCACCCCATAATGATTTTCTATTGCTATTTTCCTGAATTTCTACTTCTATTTTTATTTTTGTTCTTCCCAGGAACAGTTTGCTGTGTCCTTGCTGTAAGCCATTTTTTTGTTGAAAGAGATAGGGCAAAAACAAACAAGTAGACAAACCAAATCCTAGCTTTAAAAAAAAAAAAAAAAGGCCACTGAAGACATATCAAGACCTTCCTGCTATTATCGAGCGAATTCTTTCCCAGGCTGGTCTGAGTTGCACCCAGACTTTACATTAGGCTTTGTTCCAAGGGGCTGGAGGTGCCAGAGGGGAGACTGCAGCCTGAAAGAGGTCCAAGGAAAAAGGCTTCATTTACAGGCGTGCCCACATCATACAGTTGGCAGTGCTGAGCTGAACGGTCTCCCAGCTTCCAGGGGAAAATGAAAGACATTCCCCCTACAGCTTCCCTTTCAAGCTCTCACAGCTGGAAGGGCCGGACAGCCAAGTTCCTCCCTTTTCAATGCGGGTTGTCACTCGGATGCCAGGATCTGCTGATCTATTCGCCAAATACCCAACGTGAGATCACGTCTTCTTGCTTATCCATCATTAAATGCTCCATTTAATGCAGAAGAACCTCACTTTCCCTTTTCCTCTTCTGCCACAGCTAAAAGAGAACGCCTCCACGAAGAGATAAAAATTACAAAGGAAGTAAAAGAAAGGAACACGATTTCTGAGCAGGCCCCTCATTTGTAATTCCGCACCAGAGGCTATTCGTTTCATCGAATCTGAGAAGGGGGCTTGGGGACCCTCTTGTGTAACCCCCTTATTTTACAGATGGAGAAGCAGTCGCCTGGAGAGGTAAAGTGACTCACCCTGGACCACACAACTAGTCAAGGACACGGGCAGTACCAGATGCACATCACCCGACTCCAGCCTTTACCCGCTGCACCACGGACATCTTCATCAGACCACAGTCACAAACTCCTGTGCGATTTAATGCCCTTGAAGAAGAACAAGGTGAGAAATAGCCCTGCTGCTTCTAGGCTATTTTAAACCAGCAACCCCAGCAGTCACGCTAAAGAGCCCAGCTTATTTTTCTTGTCACACGGAATCAAAGCGTTTCAGGCAGACTTTCCTAACTCACAAATAAGCTGTGTTCCAACAGTGTGTTTGGAATTTGCTATTTAGGACGCAGCATGTGTTTTCTTCCCGGGAAATCACATGATCCAATGTGGTTAGAACCCAAGGCCAGGTCACAAAGGCTGACTTAACCAAGAAGTAACCACAGTGGAGTCGAAGCAAGCCTTCACCCTATACTTTCCAAGCAAAGGCACATTCCAAGTTTCAGATGGAACTAGTGGGAACACAGCAAGCCCACCAGGGCTCCGGCAGGAAGAGGTCTGGCTCAGATAAGAGCTAAGAGGCCCCAGGGCTTCCCTGGTGGCACAGTGGTTGAGAATCCGCCTGCCAGTGTAGGGGACACGGGCTCGAGCCCTGGTCCAGGAAGATCCCACGTGCCGCGGAGCAGCTAAGCCCGTGCACCACAACTACTGAGCCCGAGTGCCACAACTACTGAGGCCGTGTGCTGCAACTACTGAGCCCACGTTCCGCAACTACTGAAGCCCACGCGCCTAGAGCCCGTGCTCTGCTACAAGAGTTGCCACCGCAATGAGAAGCCCGTGCACTGCAAGGAAGAGTAGCCCCCGCTCGCCGCAACTAGAGAAAGCCCACGCGCAGCAACGGAGACCCAAAATACAGCCAAAAATAAATAAATTACTGAATTATTTAAAAAAAAAAAAAAAAAGAGCTAAAAGGACCCAGAGAACCGTGAAACTGGGTGCGCAGTTCGGATGAGGGTGCAGCTGGAGTCACCTCTGCTAGTGAATGGCTGGGCTAGTTCCTCAGCTTCTCTGAGCCTCTGGACAGATGAGGGTGATTATAACACCTCACAGGTGAGACAGAAGGACAAAAGGAGACAATGCACAAAAACGGCCTGTTAAAGCGTCGGGCGTCTGGAGCAAGCTATCAGTTATTATTGTAGCTGCTCGGCGGAGGGGAGGGGTGGCCCTGGCAGTCTGAGTGGCTGGGGTGCCCCACTGGGGCAGGGGCTCTGTGGTGGAGTAGCGGACCTGAGGTGGCAAGGGGGCCCTGCGCTCTCAGCCGCACGCCTGCGCCTCGGGCAGCAGCGGTGGCAGCAGCCGTGGCTCCACCCGGCTCGGGCTGCGGCGGAGCGGGGCCCTGGTGGGCCCTCCGCGGCGACTGGAGGGACCTAGTTATTGAAGGGCCGGGCCCCACGGTGTGCAGCCTCTGCAGTCATCCGCCCATCCCCAGGGACTATCTCCCAACCCTCTCACTGTGTTTCTGGGCCCTTTCAAGTCTCATTTCAGTGACTAAATGCACCAGCCAGTGTAATAATCAAACTCGAAACTGTGTTAGATTTAAGCTCTGCTCCCTCTTCCTGCAGAATGAGGCCTGCTTCAGGCCTAGACACCTGCTTCTTCTCTCCCCCACTCCACCCCAAGCCCCATACTCACTAACTGGGTTTCAAACCATCTGGGGTCACACCTACAGGCGGAGGTCCTGGGGGCTCTGGCAC